GATCATCAGTTTTACTTAGCATATTTAGACAGTGGCTCTCTGTGCCAGATACTACTGCCCAGGGGTCATGAACAAGACAATAGGACCACCTTTTGTTAGATAGTTTTCTAGACACCTAAACGGAATTTTCAGATTGTAATAAAGGTGGTGAAGGAGGCAATAGGCTAGAGCAGAGGGGTTTTTAAAAGTATTTTCCACTAATAGAATTTCTAAGAATACAAATTCTGGGCCCCACCCCAGACTGACTGAATCAGTAACACTGGGAATGGGATCCAGCCATCTGTGGTTTTCCAAGCCTTGCAGGTGATGGTGATTCTTGTGGAGTCTAATGGTCCCTTACCTGAGTCACAGGTGAAGTGCTACTTTAGAAGAAGTGGTCAAAAAAGTTTTTTGAGGAACTGACAGGTCAGTTGAGTCCTGAAGAAGGAAAAGGGGCTAAATATGAAAGGAATCTGTTGAAACATTTACATAAAAATGTTGGTTACATTCCAGGAAGAAAAAGAAGGCTAACATGGGGAAAGTGAGTGAGGAGGATAGCAGCATAGTATGTGTTCAGAAAAGCAGGCAAGGGCCTCATCAGTTCAACCAAAGTAAGGAATTCATATTACTCTAGGTGAAGTGGTCAACTGTGCTAGAATTCAGGCAGAAGAATGGATTGGTTTATTTAGGCTTGCAGGATAAATTACAGGAAAACAAGAGTAAGTCTTACCTAGTTATGAGACCATTTTAGTAGCACAGATAAGAGGCTAAAGATATTGGCAAGGAAAATTTAAAGAAGTGAATGGATTCAGAAGAAGAAATGTTAGACCTTGTTGATTGGCATGTGAAAGGGAAAGAGTTAAGGATTGCTTATAGCAGATGGTGGTACTGTTAACTGAGATGGTGAAGATGCAAGAAAAACTAGAGAGAGATGTGTTAAGCAGGAATCCAAAATTATGACTTGAACATATTCAATATGGTATACCTTTTAGGTGTCCTGATAGAGATATAGTATTGAAAACCATGGGTCCAGGATCATTTACAGGGAAAGTGGAGATAGAGAAGAGGGCTTAGGACCAATGCTGAACTCCAATATTTAGTTGATTAAGAGAAGCCTCCAGCAGAGGGGAATGAGAAGGAACTTTCAGAGAAGTACAGTGAAACCAAAACATTCTGAAACAATGAAATCCAAAAGAAAAAGGGAATACTTTTCTAAGAAAAAGGGAAAAGTACCATCTGTTGACAAAAGTCCTTAAGTAAGATGCAGAGAAGTGACCTGTAGGATTTCACAGCTTGGAGATCATTGGTGAAGAGTAATTCAATGTTATTGAAGGAGAATAGAGGAATGGAGTGGAGTCTAGACTCTCCTTACCCCAGTTTTGATTGTTAAATTTATTCAGTGTTCCAAAAGTATGTCTTGCCCTCCTACCATATTCTAGGTACTTCTGGAACAAAATAAATAAAATAATTACTATTTTCAGAAAATGTTTACTGATAGGGGAAATAGGCAACACAAAGATAATTTCCACATAGAATGGTAAATTGTTAGACTGTTTGGCATCACAGCACAGGAAGGAAAATATAACTTTCCAGACATAATCAAGTTCAAAGTCCAGAAAAGATCTTTAGGAGAAGGAAACAATGTATAGTACTAGTACAAATAACACAAGTATCATTTTTACTAAATACTGATTTTGTGCTAGGCTCTGTGTTGATTGATTTTCATAGATTACCTCACAACAAACCTGTAAGGTAGATATTATTAACTCTATTTTTCCAGATATTGAAACTTATATTTCCCAGGCTTGGCATGAAGGATGAAGTGGAAGTTATACACTGAAGAAAATTTGTCCTAGATAATTAAAGAAATATAATGGTATGGATAGGAAGGGAGAGTATATTACTAACAGTTGGTGTTTCTTAGGAGTGTTTACAAAATGTGACCTGGATTGAGACATCGGCGGCTCCTGGGAACTTGTTAGAAATGGAAGTTCTCAGCTCTCACTCTTGACCTACTAAATGGGGGGGAGGGATCAATCTGTGTTTTAATGTCTCTTTTGAGCAATTCAGATGCCCTAGCTAGAAGACACATTGACAAAAATAAAAGCTGCTTTAGTATCTTTATTTTGGAATTTTTTGGTAATGTGTTTATACCTGTCAGTTATAAGGTTTCTTTTAATACATTTAGTGTTACATTTTTCTTATAACCATCTTATATTTTGTGGCCTGTTGTAATTGAGGAAACATGGTACTTGAATATTAGAATGTAGCCATTCCTTCTTCCAACCCCAAACCTAACCTGTGGGTTTTCTAGAGAAAGTGGTTTCTTCACATTACTACTCTTGACTCTGAAGTATATTTTTATGAGGAATGTCAAATTTATTTCTAAAACTCTCTTTGTGAATGAAAGTGACCTATTATTCTGACTTATATGAAACTTTATGGTGTGTATAAGTTACCTTGTGATTATTTTTTGCATGATTAAAAATTTGCAAAATTCTTATGGCTCCAAAGAGCCAACCTGTAATAAACAGCTTTCACCTTCTAAACCACAAAACAGGTCTGAATTGCTTGAACATTACAGCTAATTGCTTGCCTACTTCAAAGGAAGAATTGAAAAGAGAGAGAGAAAGAAAGTCATAGGACCAGGAGCATTGCAGGCAAATCCACCTCTAAGGGTTATGAGTTGTGGCTTGAAGCTGCTGGGCAAAGTTATGGCCTCAGAACTGCTGTTTGCGATTAAGTTGATGGGGAGAGTCTATCCCACAATCTTTCCCTGCCGCGGACACAGAGTCTTTGTTCACATTCAGATTTCTCAAACTGTTGCCAGGGTCAGGCTGAGGTCAGACACCACAGTGATGTATAGAAGAACATGTCTGGGAATTTCTCTCACACTTAAAACACATACCAGAAAATGAAGAAGAGGACCTTGCAAAATCTGTCTGATGAGACCCAGATTATACTGTAGCTTTTCTTTTAGTGCCTTCATAATTTTCTTCTCCTGACACAATGTTTTATTAATGTGAGTTGCGATAGCCCTTATGATTTTATGTCCCCTGAAGATAAGTATGCTCAGTAGCACTCTGACACTTCATTTTCCAGCCCTGGGGGGAAAGTCCAGTAAATCTACTCAAAAAAGTCTTGCATCCCTTCCCCTGGATGTGTTGAAAAGTAATTGCCATGGGCCTGACACTGGATATCATGCCACATGTGTAGAGGCGGCAGAAACGTAGCCCAATCTACTCATGATCTCAGCCTTTCAGCTTTACAAACCTATCTCAGCTACCATACTCACCAGCCCAGCCTATGACTGGGAGGAAGGAACCTGCGTTTGACCCATAATTGTCACAAATTGATGAAAGCAGTCTAAAGCCAGATAAAGTTGGTTCTCTGTCATCTTAAAGTTTTCATTTGTATTTTCTTGAAAGGGAAACTTCACCCAAGCCCTCAGAGGACTGACTACCTTAAGGGTCTTCTCTCTGCTTTCATGCAAAGGGAAACAGAGTAAGTGGATTTGTATGGTGCCTTGGAGGACTCACAGTTGAACCAGTCTTACTTTGAATGTATTAAATATCCCTGCTTTTCCCCTTAGCTTTTTGGTGTTTCTAGTGGAGCCCAGAACTGCCCCCCTCCATTGTTCTCCTGCTCACACAGTTGCAGAGCATGGCTGGCAAGTGAGGCACTAAATAGAATTTTTTTTGTGTGCTCAGCTGCTACATATGACAGTGGATATTTCATTCTGCTGTCAGAATGTTATTAATAAAACATGGGGTGTGGAAAGGGCCACGATTTCCCCTTTCAATCACTATAGCATTTGCAATGAAAATTTTATTCAGTGTGTAATTTTCAGTTAATGCTTGACACTTAAAATGTCGGTAGCAACGTTTTGTATGGTTATTGAAGGGTTAATTGTATCATGTTCTCTGTATAAAAGCTCTGCTTATCAAAAGCAAATAGAAGAGTGTATGCAAATGTGTGTCGATGACCTTTTGCCTTTCCAGGGTTAATTTATATGGTCATTAAAGATTTTATGAAATTGAGCAGCCTGGTGCTTCAAATCCCATTTTACCTTCTTCACCTAATTTATGTAATTCCTACCTGAATGGAGGAATATGATTTTTATTTTTTGTGCTGCAGTGAAAACAGCATGCCATACTGTAGGGAGTTGCGAGCTTGGTTATCTGGCATTACTCAGATTGCTAAAAATTCATTAAAATGTGACATCAGCACACTGAGAGACAAATGATCACAGGATGAAAGAGAACAGTGGGCCTTTCACGGATTAGTGCTGCACAGCCCCAGCATAGAGGCTAACCGCATAAACAGATTAGTCTACCAGCAGTGGCATAGCTAAGATTTACAGAATAATTAAATAGGTTTGAGTTACTGTGAGGATTTCCATGTAATCTAGCTGGTGTGAACCCGTGAATGAGGTGTGGGGTGATGCAGTTGTCATAGAAGTGTACCTTGCTGTGTCCTAGGTCCCATACAGCTCCCACTTAAAAAAAATTCTCCAAGGTAACTGAAGTTTCCATACTTTCCTTTAACAAAATATCAAAGAATTCCTCCAAGATCTGGAGTCTGAAAACAGGAGTAACACCTGTCTTTTATGTAATCCATTATTATCACATTATTTCTCTAAGAATTGTTTCTAAGACTCTGACACTTATTTAAGTCCACGGAACAGGGTCCATGTGGCTGCAGGTTTCTAGACTTGAAATTACAGACTTGCTTTCCACCTAATAGTTTCTTCCCTTTCAATGTAAACTGTACTAACAATGATTTTTTTTAATTTTTAGTTAAGTATATATAGGTGCTCTCGATGGACATGGAAGAAATTGCTTTAGATAAAAATTTGCATTGATGTGCTCAGTGCATTCTAATATAAACTTTTGCACAATTGTATGTCCTTTTATGAGTGAGAATATCTGAAGACAATTTGCAAACAAAGTTTTTAGTTTATTTTAGAGAATATTTTGGGGAATTTTCAATGCTACTGACTCCTGTGCCTTTCTTAACAGAAGAACAAAGTGAGGAGGCAGAAGGAGCTATTAAGCCTACAGCAGTGGCTGAGGATGATGAGAAAGACCCAAGTGAGAGAGACAATAGTGAAGGCAAAAACTCCACTAAAGACTCTGGTAAGATGCTGGACTTTTTTGCCTTTCATTTTCTTATACCCATCTATTCCCTGAAATCAACCTTTTCTTCATCCCCACCCTGCAAAGCTTATTAAAAGCTTTTATTCATTTTAAAATGTCTGAACATTCCCACTACTATTCATTGTATGTGCATTTTGCATGTGATTTCTATCAGTAGCCTCCCATTGACCTATTTTTAATCATAACCATCTGACAGAATAGACGTGGATAAGTTGAAGAATATTACAGGAAGACCAGCGAGATTATTTTTTAATCAAATCAGTTTGTGTGCTTGTAATTTTTTAAGCGCCTTTCATTAATCTTAGCTATACTTGTGATTCCTCTGATGGCATATTAATTTTTCATAAGCACAGGATTAGATATCACTTGAATTTTGTCATTCAATCATATGCACCCCCTCCCAAACCAAGTAACCCTAAAAATTAATGCTATTTTTCCTTCCTTTGTTTTTTAACTTATACTCAGGAATCTGCCCTTTTTAAGGGCATCTATTTGAGGCATTTCAAATAAAATCCAGTGAAAAAGTTTATAGATGATTCAGCCTAAGAAAGAGGAAATATCATTGAAAAGGGATTAGGTGCTGGGTAATTTTGATCTTCTAGAATAGACAAATCCCAGTAATGAAAGCTACTGTCTTTGAAAACAAACCTTCGTATCATGACATTTACTTGTGCACAAACAAACCCTAAGCCAGCATCTGGTGTGGATACCTAAAGCTTTTTCTGTGTTTGATTTGGCAAATATATGGCTTCATCCATGGTTTGTATGTATGAGATGGAAATCTATGGTTACAATGAATATTACATTGGCTACTTTTGCTGCACGCTATACCTAGTTTTATTATGTTGGACTCATTGAAGCAGAAGAAGTGCTGAAATGGGTTCAAGCCTATTAGTTTCATGTAGTCATCTATCTTCTCCTTGAATTCCAGTGACAGCCGCATATAAAGACGCTTGTATTCACTATGAAGATATTGGATTGTGCAATATGTATCATTTTTTACATATGAGTTTCTTTAAACCTGAATTATCCCATATTTGTAATTCAGTCTTTGCATATTCAAGCTTTGCATTCCCTTAAAAAATTATCTAAGGGGCTCCTTGCTCTTCTCTCCTCTCTGTTCAATGGTGAATTTTTTATGAGAGTCCAGTGAAAAAAGTGTCATTATTATTTACTTCTAGGATGTAGTATCTAACATATGATTCTAATTTGATTTAAACAAAGAGGATCTTACATTGGGATCGAGCCTAAAATGAAATCTCTGGAAAGATGCCATACAGCGGTCTATTAGCAGGCTGGCTCTTCAGGCTACTCACATGAAATTTGAAGCACCTCATGATTGGTTAATGACAAGGGTGGTACCATCTAAACTTCACTTGAAAAGGGTTGCAAATAGAAAGGTAGTAGTTTATTCACTGTATGACGGACATAACCAAGACTAGCTATTGGACTAATTTAGGCAGGGCAGGATTTTGTCTGTATTCAGTGACATCTTTCACATACTAGGACTGAAACAGATTATGAAGCATATCTCTCTGATTCTTCAAAAGAATGTAAAAGACACACAAACACACACAAAGATCTTTTGCAAAAGGGAAGGTGACAAAAAAGGTGGCAGGAGGCAGGAGGGAGGAAAGTGGAAGGGGATGAAAAAAGAATTAAGATGTGTTATGTACATGCACCAACTTCATGTGATGAAACATGAACTAATAAAAATAAAAATTAAAGACACTTATATCACATCAGTGTTTATTGAGTGCCATATAATACTTATGCCATAGGTCATGATACTTGATGTCAAATATTTAATATCTAATACCTTATAAAGGATGAATTCTGGGAATCTCTTTAAGATGGATCTCATCTTATCATTAAAGAAAGAATCTTGCTGGGAACATACCACAGGGCTTTGCAGTTTACTGCTCTGCATAAGTAATGGGCTCAATTGGTCCCTAATGGCCTGATGAGTTATTGTCCTTCTTTGGGTACCTAATTGTCCCATGCAGACAGGACTTGGGTATATGAGAAGATAAAGACCTTTGCATGATGGTAGCATTTTAAAACAAGTTTTATCCTTGTAACAATAGCTATATTCCTCCCCAGATATAGCTATTGGGATAAAAATGAGCTCTAAGCAAAGACCAACAAAAAGTAAATGCTGAAATACAAATATTTAGTTTTGAAACCTCTCAGACCATCCTTGTTATTGAAAACTAACATGAACTTTTAACAACGTGTTCTGCTTTGTAAATTGAATCTTATTAGGTTAAAAGTTATTACATGGATTTTCCCTTGTAAATATTTCTAATGATTGAATAAACACACATACACATGAATATTTTCTTACTATCAGCTATAATTGTCAAAAGAATAGTAGCATATTTATGATCACTATCTTAATACGTTAGATGGGAAAACAGTTTAACTCCACTTCAGCATAGAACTTTTTAGGCATAAGGGGATTAATAGATGTTAGGAAGACCATGTCTGTGTAAGCTGTTGTGTCTAGTTGCTGACATTAATCTGTAGGTGTAGAGCTTTCAAAATGAGACTTGGCAATATGCAAGTTATATTTGTTGAATATTCATTCATAATAGAAAAGCCTCCTAATGCCTCATTTATATTGTCATTTAAATCTAGTGCCACTTTAGATTAATTATAATCCAAATTATAGCTCTGTGCAGTATAAGAATTAATATAGAGTTTATCCAGATTAACACATTTGCATTGAAAATGTAATATGTCTCTGCTGTGGCTAAGGGGACTACACTTTAATAAGGGAGTAAACACGAGGAAAGATGGAAATTAACCTTCATTATTGCAATTAAAATTATCCTTTCATTCTAGTCTCATTAGAAAGAATACCACACAGATAATTATAATTTAGAATTATTTAGGGTTGAATAGCATCTGTTATACCCAAGTTTCATAATATTCAAATTTTATCAATAAATTGACTCATAAATAACTCAGTATTTTTTATTTTTTCAAGATTTGCTTTGAGTACATGTGTGTTATTGGATTTTCCTCACTTGTTACGAGCATAAGCCATTTTACAACCTTCTGTATTTTAGGGATTGAAAATTATTAAGTAGGTGGCATCTGATTGAAATGAATTATGTCATTTTTATACTAGCAATCTCATGCAAGTTAAATAATCCTATAACTGGGAGATAATCATTGGTTTATCTATTTGGCAGTGCTTATTTGTAATTAGACTTCATTTATTTTAGTTAAAATTCATTAAAATGACATTGCTCTTTGTGGATATTATGGCGTTCTTAATCATGATTCTATTTTAAATTTTTCTGGTCTAAGGTAAAACAAGATTTATTTTAAATAAAGTTGCAAAAATAAACTATGAGTGATAAAAGTTAATAAAAACTTTCCTAAAATTAATTGGCCCTATTTTCATATACGGCATTTCCAGTATAACAAATTCAGAAAGAAGATCTCAGAGTTGATTTCTTATAATTTACCAAGAATGTCATAATATTAAATTTGAGACAGCACCCCTTACAGTATTCAATGCATTCCTGCATAAAATGTAACTTCCATTGTTTCTACAAATACTACTGATGACTTACTTTGCTCCATGAGACTGTTTTTGTCCTGTTACTACATCTCAGTGTTCTCTGGTTCCTATTAGTAGCAATAGCTTGCATTTCTGGCATGCTTAGCTAAAGTTAGGCAGCCTACACCTTATTTATAACTTTATAAAACTTGTTAATTTAAAGTAAAATGGTCTTTGAGAGGCTCCCAGTTTATATGCACATCATGGTTTAATTAAACTAATTAGCCAAAAAATACTGGATTTAACACATATGTTGAATTTTAAAAGTAATATCCAACAGTTATTGCAATGGCCATGTGATAGAGACCCTACAACTTTTACTTTCTTGATGCAACATGGAACATCACAAAATTCAAAAGCAATTATATTTTTGATATTGATACACATAAAAACAATATATTCTTATATACATGGTATTAATTATAACAAACATGCACATCGGTATATAGGCTTAATAAAATGTTCCAAAGCTTAAAATTAATACTTTTTGCATCCTTAACACTATCAGTATTAGAATAAGACACATATTATCCACATTTATGGAAATAAGTCATGGGTACATAGTTAATAGAGCTAGAAGTTTCTAGAAGGTTTATTATATTTCTGATACTCAAAATGGCCTGAAAGCAACAAAAATAATGAAAATTATTTTTCAACTTGTATGTCACAGTCTTCAATAACACAGAAAAATTGAATCAACTTTTTATTTGCTATTCCCCAATTGTAACACAAATATAAAAGAATGTGATAAAGAAGTGTGACAAAAGAGTATTAGTTTCTTAAGGAAACTCATTAATGGGAATTTTTAAAGAAAAATTTCACAGAATCACTGGCTGATTTCAGTGACAATCATTTTGTACAACTTAGACTGACACAATAAACAAAAAATTTAATTTGCAAATAATAAATATATAGTTTTATTAAACTTTAGTATTTTTGAAACAACAGTAAAAAGTACATTCTGTATTTCTTTAGCAAAAGAAAAATAAACTTTCATTCTAGAATTAACTATGGGACAAATATCCCTGATTTTTACATGTATTTGACATCATGTACTTGAATATTTATAAATCAATAGAGACTTTAAATTTAATTCACATTTAAATTCATTAAAATACAAATATGAAAAACTATTTTTAAAATATCTAAAAATTCAGTTTCTCCAAGGCATATGTAAATATATACCAATTCAAATAAAACCTAGTGTTCATAAATCTAGAAATCAATTATCAGTGCAATCTACTGAAAATTTAGCACCAATTCTATACTAAACACAAACCCTTAGGGAATAAAATTATTGTCATCTAGATGATTTTGCTTTAATTTTAATCTCCTCAAATAAGTCTTATTTTAAAATTTATTTTCTCAATTTGAAATTTCTGAATTTATCTATATGATATAAAACATTTATCTGTGTCCAGGTAGAAATAGAATAGATTTAATTTTGTTCATTTATACTTTGTTTCCATAACATTCTTGACCTTATTTGTAAATTAAAAGTAGATTATTTTGCAATAAAGTGCAATTTGTTCATTTATATGAATTGTATGTGGATTGAAAAAAAAAGTCAAGATAAATCTTCATGCACAGCATACAATCAGATTATGCCTGGACTATATATTTACGTGGGACCTGATAGCAATCAATGGTTTAGCTTCATTGCATTTCAAGATGTATTTGCACCCAGTTGTCCAGTGATAGTGTCCTCACCCTGGAAATAATTTAGTTGCAAATTGACTGGAAGATGGTGAAAATTGAAAGTTAAAATTAGAAATACTCATAATAAACAGCAGAAAAAAGGTCAGATGATACCTCGCTATGATGAGATTGGAATGGCTGGTAAATGAGGTTTTGTGTTTGTCGTGAGATGTATGTGACATGCCTACCCAATGTCGCTGTAATATCCAGCCTCGGAGAAGAGATTATTGAGCAAATTGATGCTAGAAAGAATTTTCTGTTAGATTGGGAAATTAGAATTGTGCTCTTTTCTTTGATGTATGTGGCTCCTAAATGCTACATTGCTCATCTAGGCAAAAATTTACATCATCTTTAACACCAAATATTTGGATTAACCTCATGAAACAATTGTCTTCATTGAGATTTGTACTGTAATGTTATGTGTACAGTAACCTGATGAAACATATAGAAAAGAGAATATCACTAATGGCAGCAGAAATATAATGTATGATTAATTTTAAAATCCTTTTAATTTTCAAATTCATTCCTGACATAAAAACATTATTATTTTACATCCTGAATTATAGGTCTTCTAAGATAATTGAAATCTCAACATTCAGGATTTAGAAAAGAGATAGGTAGCTAAATATTAGTAAAAATAATGAATTTCTAAAGCCAGTATTTGTGAATGGTAGTAGATTGGCTTTAATGTAATAAAGACATTCTGAGACACCAGAGAGCACATGTTATTGATGAACCTTTCAAGGCCACCTAGGGTTATCTAAACAGGAGACAGGAGTACGTTTTAAAATATATTTATAAAATCCACTTTGTGGACAAAAAGAAATGTGTCTTTTTACCTTTTGAAATTAGAATCTTTCAAACTGCTTGTCTGGCTCTTTTTGTGATTCAGTGGATTTAGAGTTACAATTATTTGAAAAACATAATTTTTCTGATTGTGACATTGTGAGTTTTTATAAATTGATTTGCCTTATTCTTTTTGGGAACCAGGTGTAATCACACCAGAGAAGGAGCTAAAAGTCAGTGTGGCAGGGTGCACCCAGCCACTCTTGCTGGCAAAAGAAGAGGATGCTGCAACAAAAAAGGCAAAACCTACAGAGGATAATAAATTCTGTCATGAACAGGTAAATACATTGTTTTCCCTTTGCTGCATAAATATCTTCTTTGTCTGTTTATTTACTCCTGTTAGTTTTAGAGCCTCAGAGATTCCATGATTTTAAAATGCACACAGATATCCTATTAGGCAATATTACTAAATCTTAGTATTAATTCTAGTGTTCTGAAGTCATCAAAATCCATTAATTAAACATGGCCACGCTTATCCGATCTTTTCCAGTTCTATCAGTGTCCGTATTGTAACTACAATAGTAGGGACCAAAGTCGGATCCAGATGCATGTCCTGTCGCAGCACTCAGTGCAGCCAGTCATCTGCTGTCCTCTGTGCCAGGACGTCCTCAGCAACAAAATGCACCTACAGCTGCATCTGACACATTTGCACAGTGTGTCACCAGACTGTGTGGAGAAGCTGCTTATGACAGTAAGGACACTAAATGTTGATGCATGTGTGACATGATCCATGTAAAGCTATCAGTACAAATCTGTAATTATGGGTTGATAGAAATTTCTCTCTTCTGAACACATACCACACTGTAGTGTTTTTTTTTATAACTATCATGTTAATCAGGTATATCACGTTGAGTTTAAAATTTCTTGGTTGTCATTATAAAAAGTAGACCTACAAAAATCTTTAAGCTATAATGTTTTAAAACAACAAAATACAATATTATAAAAGCATTAATTTAAAATTTGAAAGGATGTTGCTACTTTGATTAGAAAAATTTAAATAGTCTGTACTACTGCACAATGGAATATGCTGTGAAATTTATGATTTCTGGAGTACTTTTAACATAAACCTCTTTGGTTTTCAAAGGTGCCTGTCCCTGATGTGATGATGCCAAACAGCATGCTACTCCCAACAGCCACCCCTGAGAAATCAGAGCGGGACACACCTGCAGCCATGACAGCTGAGGTGTCTGGGAAATATTCAGGTATGCTAGTCTCTGATCTGGATCTGTGGAGAAAGTACTCAAGGGCTTGCCTTTGTGGCAGGGCTCTGAGATTTTTACTATCAAAGATTTTTTTTAAAAGTTACTAACAATACCTTTCCCATGAAGAGAAAAAACAAGCCATTTCCAAGAGCCTTATTTTTAAAGGTATATTTGGCATCTGGTTATCTCTACCTGTACTTGTGGAACCCAATTGTCAGACAGCCAAGAATATTTTGTGTTTTAATTCATGAATGCCAAGATTATGACCCTTGGCATTATGCTAATTGCAGCATACTATATTACTTTTGATTGTTTTCTTCTCTATCCTGAAATTTCTTGAGGTCAGAGGTGATTTCTTGTTCACCTTCATGTGCTCAGTACCCAGCTATATAGTTGTCAATAAACATTTCCTCAAAGAATCAATTAAACAGAAATCTTTATGAGCTCCTATTTACCATATGTAGTGATACTTAAGCATTAGGTTTTCTTACTGTAAGAGATATGTTTGTCCTTTCTCCAAATAGGTGAAAGCCCAATGGATGACAAAAGTATAGCAGGTCATGAAGATTCAAAGGCTAGTGTGGAAATAAAGAGTGAGGAGCAGAAACCAACTAAGGAACCTTCAGAAGTATCAGAATGGAATAAAAATAGCAGTAAAGACATGAAAATCTCTGATACACTACAAGATCAACTGAGTGAGCAACAAAAAAGACAACCACTCTCAGTTTCTGACCGCCATGTTTATAAGTATCGTTGTAACCATTGTAGCTTGGCTTTTAAAACTATGCAGAAGCTTCAGATACATTCCCAGTACCATGCAATTCGGGCTGCAACGATGTGTAACCTCTGCCAGCGTAGCTTCCGTACATTCCAAGCTTTAAAAAAACACTTGGAAGCAGGCCATCCTGAACTGAGTGAAGTTGAACTTCAGCAGCTATATGCCTCCTTGCCCATGAATGGTGAACTTTGGGCAGAGAGTGAAACTATGGCCCAGGATGACCATGGGTTAGAGCAGGAAATGGACAGAGAGTATGAGGTGGACCATGAAGGGAAGGCAAGTCCTGTAGGAAGTGACAGTAGCTCTATTCCTGATGACTTGGGCTCTGAACCAAAGCGGACCTTACCTTTTAGAAAAGGGCCCAATTTTACAATGGAAAAATTCCTTGATCCATCTCGTCCCTATAAATGTACAGTGTGTAAAGAATCATTCACCCAAAAGAACATTCTCTTGGTCCATTATAATTCAGTGTCTCACCTGCATAAGTTGAAAAAGGTTTTGCAGGAAGCCTCGAGTCCTGTTCCACAAGAAACCAACAGCAGCACAGATAACAAACCCTACAAGTGCAGCATCTGCAATGTTGCATACAGCCAAAGCTCAACACTGGAAATCCACATGAGGTCTGTGCTCCACCAAACAAAGGCCAGGGCTGCAAAGCTAGAGCCAAGTGGGCATGTGCCCAGTGGGCACAGCATTGCAACAAATGTGAATAGTTCTGGCCAAGGGATGTTAGATTCTATGAGTTTAGCAGCAGCCAACAGCAAAGATACCCACTTAGATGCCAAAGAATTAAATAAAAAGCCGACTCCTGAATTAATCTCTGCTCAGCCTACACATCACCCACCACAGTCACCAGCACAGATTCAGATGCAACTACAGCATGAGTTACAACAGCAAGCTGCATTCTTTCAGCCGCAGTTTCTCAACCCAGCCTTTTTGCCTCATTTTCCCATGACCCCTGAAGCACTACTGCAGTTTCAGCAGCCTCAGTTTCTCTTTCCTTTCTATATACCTGGGACAGAATTTAGCTTGGGGCCAGATTTGGGCTTGCCAGGCTCTGCCACATTTGGTATGCCAGGCATGACAGGAATGGCTGGCTCCTTACTGGAAGATCTGAAGCAGCAGATTCAAACCCAACACCACATTGGCCAAACTCAACTACAAATTTTACAGCAACAAGCACAATACCAAGCCACACAGCCTCAGCTGCAGCCTCAAAAACAGCAGCAGCAGCAGCAGCCACAACAGCAACAGCAGCAACAGCAGCAGCAAGCAAGCAAATTATTGAAACAAGAGCAAAATAACCTTGTAAGTACAGACTGCCAGATTATGAAGGACATGCCATCTTATAAGGAGGCAGAAGAGATTCCTGAAAAGCAAGAAAAGCCAAAGCAAGAATTTGCAAGTGAAAGTGAAGGACTCAAAGAAGGCAAAGACATAAAGAAGCAAAAGTCCTTGGAACCATCGATCCCTCCACCCCGAATAGCCTCTGGGGCCAGAGGGAATGCAGCCAAAGCTTTATTGGAAAATTTTGGTTTTGAACTGGTCATTCAGTATAATGAAAATAGGCAAAAGGTACAGAAGAAGGGCAAAAATGGTGAAGGTGAAAACACTGACAAACTGGAATGTGGCACGTGTGGCAAATTGTTCTCCAATGTTCTTATTTTAAAGAGTCACCAAGAACATGTACATGGACAATTTTTTCCATATGGAGCACTAGAAAAGTTTGCTCGTCAATACAGGGAGGCTTATGACAAGCTTTATCCCATTTCTCCATCTTCCCCTGAAACACCTCCTCCACCACCACCGCCTCCTCCCCTGCCACCAGCTCCCCCCCAGCCTTCCTCTGTGGGCCCTGTGAAAATGCCGAACACTGTTTCTACTCCTCTACAAGCACCACCACCCACGCCTCCACCCCCTCCTCCACCCCCTCCTCCTCCCCCGCCACCTCCACCCTCTGCACCACCACAGGTGCAGCTGCCAGTCTCGCTGGACCTTCCACTCTTCCCTTCCATCATGATGCAGCCTGTGCAGCACCCTGCGCTGCCCCCCCAGCTCGCCCTGCAGCTCCCCCAAATGGATGCTCTCTCTGCAGACCTCACCCAGCTTTGCCAGCAACAGCTTGGGTTAGATCCCAACTTCTTAAGGCATTCTCAGTTTAAACGCCCAAGGACAAGAATTACAGACGATCAACTAAAAATTCTGAGAGCTTATTTTGATATCAATAATTCTCCAAGTGAAGAACAGATCCAAGAAATGGCAGAGAAATCTGGCCTCTCTCAAAAAGTTATCAAGCACTGGTTTCGAAATACACTTTTTAAGGAAAGACAGAGAAATAAGGACTCACCATACAACTTCAGTAACCCTCCTATAACTGTTTTGGAAGATATCCGAATCGACCCACAGCCTGCCTCCTTAGAACATTACAAATCAGATGCATCATTCAGTAAAAGGTCTTCTAGAACGAGGTTTACAGACTACCAACTTAGGGTTCTGCAGGACTTTTTTGACACAAATGCTTACCCAAAAGATGATGAAATAGAACAACTCTCTACTGTTCTCAATCTACCTACTCGGGTTATTGTTGTATGGTTCCAGAATGCTCGTCAGAAAGCACGAAAGAGTTATGAGAATCAAGCAGAAACTAAAGATAATGAGAAAAGAGAACTCACAAATGAACGGTATATTCGAACAAGTAACATGCAGTACCAATGTAAAAAGTGCAATGTGGTTTTCCCCAGGATTTTTGACTTGATTACACACCAGAAAAAGCAGTGTTACAAGGATGAGGATGATGATGCACAAGATGAAAGCCAAACGGAAGACTCCATGGATGCCACTGATCAAGTAGTATACAAGCACTGCACAGTGTCTGGACAAACAGATGTTTCCAAAACCACTGCTGCCCCTGCAGCAAGTTCTGGCTCTGGGACTAGCACACCCCTGATTCCATCACCCAAACCAGAGCCTGAGAAAACTTCTCCAAAACCTGACTATCCCATAGAAAAGCCAAAGCAGAGTGAACCTTCTCCCCCTTCTCAAGGCGTCAAACCAGTGCCAACAGTAGCTTCGACTTCCTCAGATGCACCACAGGTATCCACAGCCCAGCCACAGCCACTGCTACCAAAACAAGCCCAACTTATTGGAAGACCTCCCTCAGCCTCTCAAACCCCAGTTCCTTCCAGTCCACTGCAAATTTCCATGACTTCTCTCCAGAACAGTCTACCTCCACAGTTACTCCAATACCAATGTGATCAGTGTACAGTTGCCTTCCCAACTCTGGAACTTTGGCAAGAGCACCAGCACATGCACTTCCTTGCTGCTCAAAATCAGTTCCTTCATTCTCCATTCTTGGAAAGGCCCATGGACATGCCATACATGATATTTGACCCCAACAATCCTCTGATGACTGGACAGCTGCTGGGTAGCTCTCTCACACAAATGCCACCTCAAACCAGTTCCTCCCACACCTCAGCCCCTCCAACCATTACTGCTTCCCTTAAAAGGAAACTGGATGATAAAGAAGATAATAATTGCAGTGAAAAGGAGGGAGGAAATAGTGGTGAAGACCAACACCGTGATAAACGCCTGAGAACCACAATCACTCCAGAACAACTGGAAATACTCTATGAAAAATACCTGCTGGATTCCAATCCTACCAGAAAAATGCTTGATCATATTGCACGTGAAGTAGGACTGAAGAAAAGGGTGGTACAGGTCTGGTTCCAGAACACACGAGCAAGAGAAAGGAAAGGTCAGTTTCGGGCAGTGGGACCAGCCCAGTCTCATAAACGGTGTCCATTCTGCAGAGCCCTGTTTAAAGCAAAGTCTGCCTTAGAAAGCCACATTCGCTCTCGACACTGGAATGAAGGAAAGCAGGCAGGTTACAGCTTGCCACCAAGTCCTTTAATATCCACAGAGGATGGGGGAGAAAGCCCACAGAAATACATTTATTTTGACTATCCATCTTTGCCATTAAATAAAATTGATCTATCAAGTGAGAATGAACTGGCTTCTACAGTGTCAACACCTGTTAGTAAAACAGCAGAACTGTCACCAAAAAATCTTTTAAGCCCTTCTTCTTTTAAAGCAGAATGTCCTGAGGATGTAGAGAATTTAAATGCTCCTCCTGCTGAGGCTGGGTATGATCAAAATAAAACTGACTTTGATGAGACTTCGTCTATTAATACTGCAATCAGCGATGCCACCACAGGTGATGAGGGAAACACAGAGATGGAAAGTACCACAGGAAGTTCTGGAGATGTGAAACCAGCACTGTCTCCTAAAGAGCCAAAGACACTCGACTCTCTGCCAAAACCAGCAACCACACCTACTACGGAAGTCTGTGATGACAAATTTCTCTTTTCTCTCACCAGTCCATCAATCCATTTCAATGATAAAGATGGTGACCATGACCAAAGCTTTTATATCACAGATGACCCTGATGACAACGCTGACCGCAGCGAAACCTCCAGCATAGCTGACCCAAGCTCACCAAATCCATTTGGGTCTGGCAACCCTTTTAAATCCAAAAGTAATGATCGGCCAGGTCACAAGCGCTTCAGAACCCAGATGAGCAATCTCCAACTCAAGGTTCTCAAGGCTTGCTTTAGTGACTACAGAACTCCAACCATGCAAGAATGTGAAATGCTGGGGAACGAGATTGGTCTGCCTAAACGTGTGGTGCAAGTGTGGTTTCAGAATGCAAGAGCAAAGGAAAAGAAATTTAAAATTAACATAGGGAAGCCTTTCATGATCAATCAGGGTGGAACGGAAGGCACTAAACCAGAGTGTACCCTCTGTGGGGTGAAGTATTCTGCCCGCTTGTCCATCAGAGATCATATTTTCTCCAAACAGCACATTTCAAAAGTGAGGGAGACTGTGGGCAGTCAGCTTGATCGGGAGAAAGATTATTTGGCTCCAACCACGGTTCGGCAGCTGATGGCACAGCAAGAACTTGATCGTATAAAGAAAGCTTCAGATGTACTGGGCTTAACAGTACAGCAGCCAGGAATGATGGACAGCAGCTCCCTCCATGGCATCAGCCTGCCAGCAGCCTACCCAGGACTCCCTGGCCTTCCTCCCGTTCTTCTCCCTGGGATGAACGGGCCATCCTCTTTGCCTGGATTTCCACAAAATTCAAACAGTAAGTCATTTGAAGGAGAGTCAGCCTAGTTAACTAGATAGCATTAAGCAACCCATCTCATGTAAACAAGGCCCAGGTGAATTTAGACTTCTTTTAACTTTACTAAGTGCAACCAATAAATCATTTAAAATATGTGTTTATTGGTTATTGCAAATAACCAGGAAGTAGGTTCACCTGGACAAATGCAGAAAAATTTGAACTAGATTCTACCAGATTTTCAGAAATGTATTATTTTTTGCCATTACCTCTTTATGTCTTAAAAACATTATTTTTATATACTAATGTCAATGCTGATTTCAAATGGCTTTTCAACACAAACAGTGATACAGTATTTGGTATAAATATTAAGAAAGTGAAACAATGAAAATACACATTCACTGGTGTTTTAATTCCTGTTCTTTCCAAGAGGGGCAGGAGTTTTTGTTTTTGTTTCTAATTTGTTTGTCCCTCCACCCATAATAAGTGCCATGAAATTTAAAAATTAAGGTCTCTCTAGCCATAGGAATCTACATACATTGGATCTAGCATATAATAAAGCTTATGTTTAAAGTTAAATAAAAATATGGCTTCTGTGATAATTTGTAATTCAGCATTACTATGAGATTTTGATTTTGGTAGCACCCATTGCCATTGCCACTTGTTACTTAAATAAACTCACAACATTAAAAGTACATTAATAATATTCCATGACTTTCTATCCTTCTCTCCTCCCCAGCTCAAGTTTATAATTAAAGTAACCACAGATGCTGAATCCAGCTCTGTGTTCAGCGGGAGAAACATAAATTTGTACAATTTAGATTTTGTGTACAGTTTTAGATTTTGTATAGTTTAGATTTAAGTATAGGTATTCAATTGTAACAGGTTGAATAAATTGCATATATTGTATTAGGCAATCATGCAGCTAAAAATATAACTCAAGCCATGTATTATGAGAAATACAAAAATATAGTTGTAATTTCTTCTTTTAAGTGTTATTCTTCAAATTATCAATGATTTTTTCTTTTTAGAAGGAAAATTTGACATTCTAAAGAGATTTATCTGGCATTTACTAAACATGTGTATACGTATATGCATATTTATCTACAAAGTTCACAAAGAATACAAGGAAAGCTTTTATTTTCAGAAATTTGACTTTTATATAAATTTCAAATGTTTCAATTTCACTCTTCTCTTACAAAAAAGAAAACTGGCATTAAAATATTAAGAAGTTACCCTTATTTTAACTGTTAGCTTAGCAGGCATGGAATCAATTATATTCAATGGCCTGCCATTGCTAGCTCATCTGGTTCCTTGTCCTGAATGATTTGTTGACTTTAGATGGAAAGAGAGTGGAACCATACATAGAATGTTACCAAGAAAACATTTGTGATGTTCCTTCCTTTATCACACCAAGTCCCTCTTCCTTAAAGTATTTTGGGCTTGTATGGATAATCTAGGGACTTAAATATTAGATCTACAATTATATGTTTTGCTTGTTCATTTTAATTAAGTCAAATATAAGTATGTTTAAAACAATGCAGGGCTGGGGATTCAGCTCAGTGGTTCCACCACCTGCCTTGCAAGGTCCCGAGTTCAATCCCCAGTAACAACAAAAAAATGCAATAACAGGGTTTTTTGCATATAGTGTTACTACTGTTACTTTGTGATGCCACTGTATATACCACTATTATTATTAATTGACATATAAAAGAGTGTGGCAGAACTTCTATGATCAATTATGTAAATTAGAAAGGTTTCAGGTATTTTACATAGGCTAAGAACAGTTGAGGTATCTATGCCTTTAATTCATAAATCTGATTGATGATGATTGTGTTGTCACCTCCCTGTGGAAGTGGTGGTCACAGCATCTTATTTTTCTCTCTAATGGGTCAGAAAGCCTTTGCTGGGACAATGGGTCCTTCTGTTAATTACCCTTCTGGTTTGTTACTCTGATACTGGCACCCAGAGGGCCTGAGCAAAAGAATGTGAGATGGAAGTTGAGAGAAGACATTCACGAAATATTTGAACAAACTAACATTTTTCTCATTTTATTCACCATAAATATAATTTATATCCATCCCCTGAAATACGGGCCCTATTATAATTATCAACATTGCTGGGAGGATGTTGGAGATGAGGTCTTCCATGGGTAAGAATATCTTTGAACACACCAGGTACCAAGGAACTCAGCAGTTCATCTGATGCTTTATTAAATCATGGACCAAAACCAACTGGGGAGAGTTGTAAAGAGAAACGCTCCATGAATGATGCTACCTACTGGAATTTGCAATTTCTCTTGAATTAGTCCTTTGTTTGTGATAGATTTTAACATTAGCACAGCAGAGCTATCAGTGGGACTCCATTGGAGAGCCTGAGTTCTTCACTTCCAGTTCATATCTTTTTAAGGTTAATTTACCTGTGATGGGGAGAACAGAATATTTTAACCAGCTCATGGAGTAGAGCTGTGGTTTTCCATCTTTCCATCATCATCTTTTCATCTTATCCAGCAAATAGAGAGAATTATCCCAGCTAAGTCAAATCAAGAGGAGAAAATTTCTCCATAAGTAAAATAATGTCTGTATTTCTTACAAGCTCTGGGCTCTTGGTACAATTTGTTATCTGTATGAGCATACTATAGGGCTATGATAAGTTAATCTTGGATCCATTTTAATAGGATTTAGGTGAGCAAAAGGCTTATTTTAAAAACATTCTATTCCTTTGAAACTTTTAAGGTTTTAATCTGAAGTAAATCAGTAAAAAGTGCTCCAGTGAATCTTAGATATGCTGCAAAGTCGTGAGTTCCTCCAAAAGCCACACCCGAAAATTAGCTTAATTGCAACATACACTTTAGGTTCTATTATTTATCAATCTCTAAATTTTATGATTTATACATACATTTTATTTTGTTTTTGAAGGTTGGAATTGTTCCCTTGTTGGATATTGGCCTTAGTGTTGACAAAAATTGCTTACTTCCAGGAAATCCTCAAATGACAGAGTCGTACAAGCTTGCTCAGAAGGCCCCTTCAAGTGTGATAGAGGTCATGTTTACCTGACTCGTGAACAATGACCCAGCCCTGTGCTGATTATTATTTCTTATTGTTCATTTTTAATAAGATGAGTTGTTTTCTGATTTAAATTTTTTCACATTTTAGCATTTTTCCATCATGACCATATTGAAAAAGAGAAAATGGCAATACAATATTACATGATCATATGCTTGGAAAAACTTAAAACTTAAAATTTATATTTTATCCTTTGGAGTTGGCTTCTTTTGGCATTTGATCAAGATGAATAATTACTTGATTTTCTATTTTAACTTTTTCTCATGTCAAGCACTGTCTGATTTTAAATGTTCCATTAGTGTTTGAAAATAGAGCCTCACCCAATTTCATTAAATGAAACTTTAAATCATGCTTTTTTCTCAAACTTCACTGTAATTTATAGTGCATTGGGGTAAATCTAGATGAGATTCTTCATAATTTTAGCAAAATTGTGTTTAGCCAAGCATGTAAATCTTTTTATTTTTGCCTCAAAAATAAATTTTAGTTTTGGAAGATCAAGGTCATGGGAACCTGGAGAAAAGAAATAACCTGTAAAGAGGATCATGCAGCAAGCATTTTCTTCTGAAAGCATTATTTTCAGGAAAGAGTACCTAACACAGGAAAGCAAAACCAAATAAGTTGATGATAGTATGAGATTATTCACAAAATTTTTTATCTCTACATGAAATTTCTAAGAACTGGAGTAGGACTTGAGAAACAGGAGAGAATGTATCATTAGCATTATAACTCAATAAAAGATGTGAATCTTTGCTATGCATTTAGTTTTAGTTTTGAGATGCCATCACTTATTCCATGTCAGTTCTTCTCTTCCATGTCTGGTTTTTCTGGCTCCTGAATTTTTAACCACAAATTTTTATAAGCTTATAGCTTTTATTAGTAAGCCCAATATATGTACTTATTATTCTTTCTTTTACTGATTATTCTTAATCTGAATCTCTTTTCCTAAACATTTTATTTAAATGGATTATTAACTGACCTTATTTCTCAAGATGCTAAGCTCCTAAAAATCCCTATCTCTGATATTCCTGGTAACTTGACTATATTATCTAAGACTCTCACTGCAGTCTTCTAAAAATTTTTATTATTTCATTGTATAACATTTGGTTAGGAACATGTAGACCTCATCTAATGGGAAAGCCCGAGTCAACAACTATTGATCCATCTTACTAACTGAAATTGCTATTTTTTCCCTGTTTCTCAGTTCTCTAAATTTGTTTTATCTCAAGTGCTCATGTCAGAGAGATACTGGTAGGTGAGCTAGGGATTTCCTTTGTTTTTGGTGGGAAATTAAAATGCACTAGCTGAAAGAGGATGCAGTGGCTGAGTGTGAAGGTGAAGGCTTGCACTAGACCTAGACCTGAGGTTGGTTTTGTGAGTAGACAAAAGAAGCTGATGATCAATATAGTGTCCCTCCAACAGTACCAAGAAGGTTATTCTGCCTTGAGTGAAGTCTCCATCTGAATCACTCAGGCTTGAAATTTAATTATTAGACCTTAATTCCTTTGATGCAGCATATATAATCCTTTGCTAAATGGAAAATAGTATAGAATACCATAAAATCGGAATATCATAGCAAGAAAGAACCTCAAACATGGCCTAATACAGTATATATTGAGCCTGTTCAATAATAGCCTGTTTATCTCTTTGGTTGTTTCTTCGTGATAAAATTTTGTAGGGAAGCAAGTGGAAAGAATATGAAGATAACAGAAATAGTAGGAATAAAGGGAAGGGAGGTGAGGGTGTAGAACCTCCAAAAGCAACTATATTACTTTACAGTTTTCCCTAGGGTTAGCTCTAAATCCTATAGATTGAAGAGGTGTATCATATTAAATTGGATTAAGGATCAAGGACTTTACTCTTTCATTCCTGTCATACTCCTGGAAAGCTTAAGCCATTTGCATTTTAAATTTATTTTAAATGTGTAAGCTATTGTTCAGTAAAACATGGGCACTTGCTGGAAATAAAATGCTATTTTCAAGGATTTCTTCTTTTTGCTTTTGAATATTTGAATTGCATCAATAAGACCAGAAGACAAATTTGAGTGGTAGCTATAAAATTTACTGTTCTGCAGCCCATTGACCATTGAGTCAGAGATCCTTTTCTGTCAAACACCTACCATTTGTAGGATTCAGTTTTCTTATTTAAAAATGGAAATTTTAGTATCTATTTTCCTTGATCATTAAGGAGCTGGGGGACTATTCTCTAACGTTATGAACAATAGCTACTACAACTATAGAAATTATTCCAAAGCAAATCAGAGAAGAGATGGGTGTGGTAAGTTTAAACAGAGGGGCATCCAGTAACAAGATAGGCAAACTGAGACCAGTTTGACCATGGTAGAGTCAAAGAAAGAGGATGTTGAGCAGTTCACACCAGGATATCCACAGATACTCAAATCCCAGGATGCTCAAGTCCCTTATGGCAAAATATTTGCATATAACCTATGTACATCCTCTTGTACACTTTACACCATCTCTAGATTACTTACAGTACATCATACAATGTACATTCTATATAAATAGTTGTTATACTGTATTGTTTAAGACATCATGGTAGGAAAATTATGTACATGTTTAGTATAGATATAATTAAAAAAATATTTTTGAGCCATGGCTGCTTGAATCCATGGAAATAGAATTTATATTTTGAGAAGAGCTTTCTTGGCTAGGTAAATACCAATGAAGAAAAGAAATTTTTTTGTAGCTAAAGAATAAAAGGATGCAATCATATCTTGTTTTTTTTTTAACACCCATATGTTGACTGTAGAATAGAGATAAGACTATGACCAGTATTAAAACATGATTCTAGTAAGCCGTATGACCATTCTTTCTACAGCTATGTACAGATAATGACACTTTATTCCTTTTCTTCTGTTTGGTTCTCCTGGTTAAGTCCTTGTCATGATCATTTGGTGAACTTTATATAGTTAAAGAATAAGCTGCCATCAATCTCATATTAGGCATCAATCTGTTCTTTCTACAATCAAATTTATTTGGTTTTAAAAACATATTCAGGAAGCACACAGGCCTTTACAATTTCCTTTTCCATCTTGAGCTGTCCATTTCCCAACCAACTATCTAGCTAGTAAAAACTGGCTTTGTAATAGGTTATGACTGACTACTATGTTACATTGAGTACTTGAATTCCAACAAACTCCACTCCCCTTATTTCAGGAGTCCTCCACTACCCACACAATCTACCTACTGAGCATTT